CCCGTCCCGGACCCTCGCCCTCCGCCCCACAGCAGCCCCCTCCCCTGCGTCCCCCAAAGCTCAGCTCCCCCAGCAAGTGCTCCCAGCACCGTGCCCCCATCCACCTGCACCCGTGTCTCCCAGGGCGGCTCCTCCCAGCCACACCTGCCCCAGGGCCCCTGCAGCAGCAGTGAGGAAGCTCTGACACCCTGCTAGCCCACATCACTCCCTGCCACCTCCGTGCCCCTGGACCCCCAAAGAACCCCCCAACTCCCACCAGCGCTGGGAGCGCCCTGGGGTGCGAGGCCAGCACCCCTCATGCCACGCTGCTGTCTCTTATCACATTTGTCACCAGAGGTGAGGAAACCTCCACCGTGGGACTGGGACGGCTCCCGGAGTCCTGCATGGCAAGGGGGGCAACACTTGCCACAGGATCCCACAGGCAGTTTTCCAGGGGGACCTGACACCCCACGGGCCCACTGCCCAAAGGAAACACCACAGGCTGTGGGGTTTGCACGATTTAATGATGGTTTAGGAGAGATGTGGATAGAGTCACTGGAGATCTACGAGCTCGGGCACCCGCCGGCCCCACACGCACATGCTGACGTGAGAGCAGCTGGGGACACAAACCAGAGCCTGGCAGGCTGCCAGCTTGGCAGCGCAGTATGTACCCCACCACTGTCTCAACACCAGGGTTTTCTGAGGGCTGCCATAGCAGACACTGTCAATGAGACATGATTATGAACCTACATATGGCACAGCATTGCTCTCCCGAGGGAGTGCTGCACGTGGAGAACAAGAAATGCTTGGAGCAGGGACATGCAAGCAGTCCTGAGGGGTGCCTGGTCACAGCAGGACTGGGAGGCCAGGCTACCTGGATGAATCGGCTTTTAAGCCTTTCTTAGACTTCTCCAGTGTTTTCTGTGGGCTGTGGCCAGCCACCAGATTTTGGCAGTAGTACAATAGCTGTTGCATGGTAATCATGACTAACTTGGTATGAGACAAGCCACATGGGAGTTACTGGAAACCCAGAGTCCAGCGGGACCAAACACTGCTGGAAAACACTGCCAGAGCACCTGGGCCTGAAGTCCTTCTTGGCTGACATGACGGGATACAACTAAGACTGGAGACATTTTGCAATATGGTAGGCATCTTCTGGAAACCCAGCACCATCCTTTGTGAAAGCTCAGGAAAGAGTTAAGACCTTTTCTACTGACCTTTTAGCTGAAATAATCTAGAAAACATTTATTGTTGTGTATTCCTAGAAAAAAAGAAACAAACAAGTCTCACAAGGGCTTGTGAGCATCACTTGCACGGTGCACCCGTGTCTGCAATGCTCAGGCCTCAGTCATACATGCATCCTCTACTCCACCTTGTAGCTAGTATTTTGGGCAAGACCTTAGGCACTGTGATCTCTATCCTGTATCACTTACCTCCTGTGCTTTACCTTGGGGAGCACTTTGAAAGCAGGTGGTAAATACACGTGATACCTGCTGTTTTCCTCCAAAGGCTGCTGCTTATTTCTGAAAAATTCAGCAAACAAACCAACTATTAAAGCATCCCTGAATCACCATCTTCCCCAAGCCCAGCTGAAAAGGCAGGGTATGAACAGCTGCACTGCCTGTGGTTGTGGCTCTATCACCAAGTTGAAGTCCCACTTGCTGAGCAGCAAAACCAGCCAGCTGCTGACCTGCCACAATGCAATCCGAGGTGAAAAAGGGGTTAGAAAAAGGCCTTGGAGTTAAGCAGAGGCTCCTGAGTCACCACTCCTCCTGGCTTTACTAGCTGGTCCTGCTGCTTTTGCCTGCATCCAGGCAGCTTTCTTGCCCTTATCCCACTATGTTGGAAATCTTGTGTTACTGTGCAGTAAGGGAGTGATTCGGTTTTCTAATTTCCCTTTTGAGGGGAAAAGAAGGATGGGTCTAGCACCCCAGAAAATAATCATTTTTCACTTCATGATAATGGGGAAAATTTTCTCTTCTCGCTTCATGCTCTGCTCTCATCTGCACTAGAGCTTGCAAAACCCCAACATCTCTTTCACCTCAGGCACAACCTGGACCAGAGCAGATCTTCCCTTTGCTAGGCAAAAAGGTGTAATTTTTAAGCTCCCTTGAGCTCACACGAAAATGCCCATGGAGATGTGGTGAAGTTTACAAGTTGAGTAACAACCACTACAGCCTAAATTTTACCTTGGAGTGTTACCACAACACTTTACCTGGCCTGCAGTGGAATTTTGACACTTACGTGCTATCATAAGGTTAGAAAACCCAACCAGTCCTCTCTCCATACCCCTCTCCCAGCTTATCACCCAGTGCTTCCCATCTCACGAACTGATGCATTCAGAGTCCTTCTTCTGAACACCCATGAGGCCCAAATCCAGAGACCAGACCTGGCACTCAGGGTCTCGCTGGAAGTGAAGCCACCCACCAGCACTTGCAGTGCAGGGGAACAAAGATGCAGCCCCGTTTTTAAACAGCTCCTGCTGCCTGTCAATTCTCAGCATCCACCAGTGTACCCTGTGTTTGTCACACTCCCTGTGTGACGATGCGGATGAACACCGTGCTTCAGGGTGTTGACAACCTCAGAGGTGCTTGTGCGGCTCTTTGGGATGCACCCTCTCTCTGACGCTTCTGCGAGGTTTTGCGAAGCACTCCGTTCCCTCCTGGATTTTTGAGTGGCCCTGTGAGAAATGGTGCTACTGGTGGATTGGCAGCATGTTGCAACAAATTTCCATCCCATGACAGCATGATCAAAATGTATCACTCCAAGGAGGCCTGGTCACTTCAGTCCTGACTACAAAATGGTGCCAGGATCATCTGCTGGCACGAAGACCTCTGAAATCTCTGTCATGAGCAAAGATGAGTATACCAAAGCACCAGGATCTTCTCAGGGAGGCAGAAATCCCCTTGCTTGATTCACTTCCCATTAACCACAGGCAGCCAGAAGCTTGTAACCTCCACAATATCTTCTTGTTTGTTTGTTCTGGGTGAGAGGAACCAGTTTATTTTGGTGCCAACCATGTCTCCCTGCCAGAGGCAGCAGAACACAACCCCGAACATCCCCCACAAACCCTGCTGCTGTTACAAGTACCACTGTGCTCTGCAAAGAGCTCTAGCTGAGGAAGGATGTGCTGAGCTCACATTGAAAATTCAGACACACTTCATAGTGTGGGCAGTAAACCAGGGATTTAGGTTATACTCAAAGTAGATGTTAGCTCTGGAATTCAGGGACCTCAAGGAATTTAACCTCCCCTGCTCCCCAAAACACCTTGCCTTGCCAGCTGTTTGGAAAAATCTATACACAAGGAATCTTTCTCCTGGTCTATAAAACCTCACCAACCTTCCCCCTAGCTGGGATTGTGTTCAGGGCAGAAAATTGCAGTATTTGTCAAATGGAGGAGAATAAGATTGGTGGGACCAAATGGGAAAAAAATTATTTCCGTTAAAAGGTTTCAGATTCAGGCCTCAAATGCGTGAAGGTGAAAGCTGAGGAGAACCTAAATTCACTGCAGTGTCTCAAAAGAAACTGCGGAGACTGGGTTTCCACTATTTCAAACACTGAGCACAAATGTGATGCTAAAAATCCTACAGCCTGCTGGTGAGCACCAAGAGGGTGTCTCTACCTCTTTTAAACAACTGCATCAGACTGGGATGGACAATGATTCAAATCTCATTAGGAAAAGGGATAGCTATAAATAAACAAAACTCCCTTCCTTGCTTGGGTTAATTCACCGCCTGCAGTTCAGCAACCTTTTGCCAGCTGTTGCCTGGGTGTTCAGCCAACCAGCTTGGAAAATGACGTAAGTAAACTGAATTCTTGGTGTTCCTGACTTTAGGCATCCTGCGATGCAAGAGAGCTTGCTCCTTTCTACGTAATAGAGCAGGAACAAAGGAAAAGAGTCACCTATTTGGAGCTGAGCTAAGGCACTAATGATGCAGTAGGTGAGGAAAGAAGAAACACAGCAGGAGGAGGACAACTTCCCAGCCACGATGTCCCAGAAGATCATCGTACTCTTCACTCAATTCCCTTAAAAAACCCGATGTTATCTCTATAGAAAAGGAGGGGTTAATACAGTATTACAGTATCCCTGTTGGGGTTTCATTTTAAGGTTATTTTGTTGTTCTCCCAGAGAGATTTGTTTCAGATATCAAAGTCACATGAGCTGTTTCTAAAGTGGATTTTGGTGAATGCTGGCAGAGTTACCTGAGCAGCTCTGGCTCATCACAGCTGCGTGGATGCCCGTTTTGTTGTTTTTCCCCGTGATTTCCCAGAAAATAAGAAGCCTGTCTCTATCACTTTTTGGCATGATACCGAGATAAGCCACTGAACTGTGCTGACCCAATGGGTGCAGTCTCTCCCTGTGGAAAGCAGAGGCATTCCTGTTGTCATCACAGCTTGATAAAGATTGATGATGGCTGGCTCGTCTTCTGCCCAGTGTCGTTGAGGGGGAAAACACTAGAGATAGCTACATCAACAATTCCTTGGCAGAGCTCTGCATACAGCTTCCTAAGAGATGAGAGAGAGAGAGAGAGAGAGAGAGAGAGAATCAGATGCCCAGCCAGGCATGACAAACCAGCAGGTCCCTGATCAACTTTTACATAGAGATGCATTTTCCCAGGAGGATCTACAACATCCTGCTCCCATTACAGGTAGCTCCAGGGTGGCAAACGGGAGGGTGACATCTCTTCCATCTCCTCCCCACCTACCCCAGCAACCGTCTTCTTTTTCAGTGGTGCTGCCATTCCCAATATTGCTCTCTGCCAGACAGGACCACAAAACATCTGAGTTTACTAACAGAACAGGCTCCTGAGCAGAGTCTCCACACCCTCAGGCCCCAGACTTGAGTCACTGCAAGATGCATGGGGGGCAGACAGTGGCTGAACAGCTGAGCACCCCCTGTACTGGCTTTCCAGCTCCATGAGTGGTCGTTATCACACCAGGCCCTGTTCACGTGGGGATATGCCCCGGAGGGACTACTCTGATGCATTCATCATTTGATGAAATGCTGCACTGGAGTGCAGCTGTGCACAGCAGCTTCTGACCAGGAACAGAGACCACAGAACCCTACAGAAGTATGGCATGTTTTTCATAATGGCACAGCTCATGCAGAGCAGGATTAGGGAGAAGAGAGTCAATGTGTTTGAGAAATGATTTAATACAATACACTTTCTCCTGAATGAAATACATGTGTAAACTCCCTGAACATGCTGGCACCTGGAATGTTTTCAGTACCAAAGATGTCTTTACTAGGATTAACTACATCTTTCACCCTGTGCCTTTGGGGCTACATGACAGTAAGATGCTTTTTCAGCTCCTAGGAACGTTACTGCTTTCAGCAGCTGATCTATCTTTTAAGTGGGAACTGTGTGATACAGGTGCTATAAATCAGAATAACCCTAAAGAGGAGAAGCCACAAATAGCCAAAACCTACCTCAGCTGCCTCTGTTTTCAAGTGCCCACAGAGACATAAAGCAAACAAGGCATTGCTGCAACCCAAATACACCCAGCAACAGCCAAATTCTACCCATACAGCAACACAAGGAGGTGCAAGGCAGCATTGCATTACAGTGTACATAGTGAACAGGGCACCCTGGACACAGAAAGCTCCCTGATGAACAGGCTGTCTGACCTGTATTTTTTGTCTACTGTTACTGATGATCCAATCCAATTTAATCTACATCTAATCTAATTCTAATGCAGTGATGTACAGCCTGTTCTGTTTTGCTGGGCTTGTATAAAATACAGATGCCCATTTAGCAAAGATTTCTAGTCTCCCACAGTTGTCTCAATCACCTAATACAGCACTCCTGCTGTGCCTACAAAGAGATGCTCATGGCCTCAGCTGTTTGGCTGTCTCAGCCTCTCCCTGTGGCTGGTGGAAGCTTTCGTCCAATGTCTGCAGCATTCACAGTGGGCTCTGGGGTCCTGCTGCCTGCAAATTCAGTCACTCACTTCTAGCTGCTGCCCTTAATGCTATTCATTTATCATGTGTTCAGGTAAAGACCAGCCACCAGTGGCTCCACAACAGAGACTGAGAAACGACCTGACCCCCCAAAGTGTTAATTCTGCAATGTAACTTCAACCCAACAGTGTCAATAAAAATGACACAAGTTATACTGAAACTCATTTGTCTGAAACCTGAGGTTAGTGCCCCATCACACATGGGAAAGAAGCTGGGGGATACCAAACACAGAGACAAAGCAATGTATTTAAATCAGCTGGCACTTAGAGCAGTGGGTTAGCCTGGAAAACTTCTCTGCTATTCACTTTCTTCCACCTTTTTCACTTGGAGCTGGGACACAGCCATTCTCTGGGTGAAGCATGTGAATGGTGGCATCACGAGGGTATTACAGAAACTGATTACTCACTGGGCACATGCTGGGGCCCCATTGACTTCTATCAGCCAGACCTTCAGCTCCTCATCCACCATGAAGTCAAAGCCGAAGAGCTGGAAGCTCTGGTAGTGAAGATGCTTCGTGCTGATTGCAGGCTCTATACACATAAGGCAGCTTCTGCAAAGGGAGAACCAGAAACCCAGTATCAAAAGCCCAGCGGACATACCCATTGCACTTCAGCTTCTGAGGGCATGTGCATTCAACAGTTAAGGGGAGCGGTGCCCTGTTACCTTGGGACTGCCCCAAATGACAAGCTATATCCAACACACGTCATGGTAACCAGGTCCCTCCAGGTGAGATTGTGCAACTATCAAAACACATGTGGGGACACCCCTGAGTGAATTCCTGAAGAGCAGCATCCACCCTCACTACTGGATCGGGCAAGCTGAAAACATGATGTGCAATTAGAGCCTGGAGCAGAAGGCAGAGCCACAAAGGGCTGCACCAGGTCCCCAAGGAACTGCCGCCGAGAGCTCATCTGCCTTCGAGTCCCTCAAAGACTGTATCATGTCATTTTGGTGTAACAGTAGTGGAGCACTTGCAAAGTAAATTCTGCCATGAAGGATCACTTTATCAAGACCTGGATTCTCTGAAGCACCATAATCTCTAAGACTTCTCTCCAGGCATTTTCCATGCCCAGGAAGTAGCTGGTTCTCTGTGGACTGGGTAAGATGACGTATGCCAAGATGTGCTGCTGTGTGCTGATGGTAGGGGAAGCAGTGAGATCCTGCAGACTTGATTCTGAATTCATTTTCCCTCTCACACCTTGTCTTTTAACCTCACCCAGTCCCGTCATTCAACCTACTCTCTTTGCTTACCAAGTGATCTCGCTTCATCCTTCTCCAGCCACAGCTATCAAACTGCAGACAAACTGCCACATACCTTTGAGAGAACAGCACCTACGGAGGTCTCTTTTCATTGAGCAATGACATTGGGGTGTTTATGCATTATCTTAAATTTATGCAACTGAAACCCTTCCCTTGTTGGTCTGTCTGCTTTCCCAGCTGTGTCTGTATACATTCCCTGTCACTGAAGGGTTATGCTCCCCTAGGCAACAGGCAGCTGGCTACCTTATTATGTGTTTGATTTGCAGTAAGATGCTATTCTCAAGCGTTGTATTCAGGGCATCCATCAGATACTGGTTGAACTCCTCGAAGAACATTTCATTCCCTTCCTCATACCGCCCATAGTTTTTGGAATATTCCTTCTGAATGCAGTGATTGGTCAAGTGGCAGGTTTTGTCCTGGAAATTAGCACTGTTATATGGTTCAGAAGAAGTCCGCAGGACACCCTCTCTGTAGAGGTAGATATTATATTGATGATCCACGAGAACCCAGCTCCTGGGGGGTAAAAGAAAAAACTCTATAGTCTCACTGGCTTAGAAAGAAACAGGACAAAAATGAAACCAGTATTATTACAAAAGCAGAAAAGGTTACCTGATGTCAAACTTGCGATGCCCTGGCTCTAAAAGGAGAGGCTTCTCCAGGTATTTCTGAATCACGTGTACTTGTCCCTGCTCATCGATGAAGTCCAGGAGTTCTGCAGCCTCTGAAGAAATCAGGATGCCTTCTCCTGGCACAGAAAGACAAAATTAGGTAGATGATCCTCCTACCTTTGCTGGAGCTCTTTCATGGCCCAAGTGGACCATGGCTCATTTGCTCAAAAAGCCATGCCACATGCATGAACCCATGTCTCCAGGGCTGGCTGGTGCCCAAGCAATGTCATGTTTGCTCAGTGTCAGACATCAAATCTGCGGAGGGATCTCCCTGTTGCCATGCCACTGGGCATCTGACTCCCTTGTAACCAGAGCGAATGCAAATGGGAACCAAGGGTACCTGAAATGGCATGGCCTGCCGGGACTTGTCTGCAGAGGGACAGCTATTCAGGTGTGAGTGAATGCACAGCAGACAGGGACCTTGGCAAGCAGTGAGGCAGCTGCTTGGTTTTGGGAATCTTGTTTCCCTTTCCAGTGGTTTTTTCCAGCTGGGCTCAGGGAGTTGGGCACATTCAGCACTTGTTGAATTTTGTTTGGATTTTCCCTGCTTTTCAGCAGTTTGGAGAACAGGGATTTTTGCAGTTTGTGAGATTTTTTCCCCCTTTTTTTTTTTTTCTAAATTTGGGGAGGGAGGTTTGTGGGTTTTTATCCTAGGCTCAGACTTTCTCCCCCTGGCTGGCTTCTTTGGCTGCCAGAGGCAGTCATACATGAACACCTGTGCAGCGTTGCCCTGCTCGCAGAGTTCATTTAATTTACTATTAAAATCACTGCTGCACTAGAAAAAGAATTATTTCAAAGTGTTCAGCCAGGTAGTCAGTGTTTTCCCCTGCTGTGGAAGCTCTGCATTAAAGAAGTTAGATGTGCCATTTAAATACTGCCACATTTTGACTGAAGCTGTCACTGTTCATTTCTTTCAAGAGTCCAAATCTGAAACCACTGTTCCAGAGTAATGAAGAAAGAACATATCCCTTCTGGGATTTGATATCCCTTCTGGCATGGTGCCACACAAGGGAAAAACCATCTCAGGTAAAATTATATAATGTTTCTCTGGCACTATGTCCAGTCTTCAGGCATTTAGTTAATTTTTTGGACTAAAGCTGATGATTTAGTATTAATTTTGTGCTGACTGTTTTGGAGGAAATACCGAGTGAAAAGAAACAAACACTCTTCAAGCGGGCATTATTGGGAGAACACAGGTTTGGAGCACAGACAGGGTTTGACAGGATCATCAAAGGGAAAATGCTCCTAGCTGTGACTTCTGAAGGTCTCTGTCAACACAGCCCTGCAGGTACTTTCACTGCTCCATGCTTTGCATACCCATGAGTCACAGCTTCCCAGCCCTACTGATCCCCTACCTATCCTAGTGTCCTCTACTGAAAGGAAGTCCTTTCATCAAAGAATCTCTCAGCCATGTTTTATGTGGAGGGCAAGACTTTTAGTCCCCTGATCACAGCAGAGCCAGACAGAAACTTGCATTTGTACAACTGCAGACTGCACTGGGGGAAGGAGTGAAACAACACCTCTGTAAGACAGCAAAGCCCCTGCAGTGGGAACATCAGCAGGCACCCGTTCTGCACTGGACAGACGGTGAATCAAGGGGGAAGGTTAGCTTAACTGTGCACCTTGTCAGCAACCCAGTGAGGCAGCAAAGCAGCTTATGTGGGGCAGCTGTCCATTCTCTCAAAAACATAAAAAACTCTGGACACAGTTGAAAAATCTCTCAACTTCTAAGTCAGGACATCCTAAACCTTTCATTTTCTTTTTACTGACGGACTGCCAAGCTTCCACTAGACCTGTTCTGAGTCAGGGGCCGTGCCTGACCTGGATCTGCCTTGGCAATTAATGTTGACAAGCCTTCTACTTCATCAGAAGTAATCAGCAGACATATAACTTCCCTCTACAAGATTAACATGGGGCTCTGATTTCCGCTTTAATGCTCAGCTTGAGTTCTGCAGGACACTGATGAATATGGAAGGTTACTCTGCTTTAATGCAGAAAAGATGAGATCACACTTGAATAAAGGATGTGGAGAGTTTAAAGCTCTCCGTCCTGCAGCGAGCCACAGCAATGACCTTTTCAATTGCCCAGATTGAGACTTTGCCAGTTATACCACACAGAAACACATTCTCTCACTGGCATAACGAAAGGACTCATCTCCTCTTCCTCCCTGATGAAAATAAGCTTACTCTTCTGATGCTTCTTGATAACACAGCTAAGACAGCAGAGCATTTAAGGAAGCCAGCATGAAGGACAGTTTTATCACACAGCCTCCCTGCAGCCACCTCTGGCTTTCACATTCTCTGGTGATTTTTGTAAGACTGCATCAGAAGTGACTCTGAAAATATAGCAATATATGTGGGCTTGTTCCCTTTGAAAAGAGCAGGTCCTTCCTCAGCCTGGGGTCTGCACATACGGCAAGGCACGTTTTCATAATGCCTTTCTTACAACGTGCCCATGATACTGCTGCAATTGACAGACAGCAGAGTTACCAAAGCATTACATCTATAGCTGTGTTCAGCTATCTAGCAGATCATTATTTCTGTAGAGTGAGTGATGCAATGACCCTGGAACAAGGAAGGACACACTATCACTCGGGTATCTATTGCCTTATTCAAATTAAAGGGACATACAGACAATGCATTGCTTGTCTTTGCTCCGGTACCTTCCCCTGAGCCTTGCGTGCAATTTCAATGCACTGAGCTAGTGGCTGCTCAGCCAGTCTCTCAGCATCACCACGGGTAGGCCATCGGCACCAGGCATCTGGGTTTGGTTGAAAGACAAGCAGCAGTTTGTCCACCCAGGTGAAACCAGGCTTAGCTGCACCATAGACACCTGGGCTCCTTCTCTTGAAGGCTGCTGTCCTGCCTGCTGCCTTCCTCCCCATATCCTGTTCTTCTCCCTGTTATCTACTGCTCTCCACATTCCCCTTGCCTGCTGGTCCCTGCTGCCCTCTCTCTGCAGCAAACTGTTCTGTATTTTGAGGCACACATGTAGAAAAGTGGAGGTCCTTTCACTGCCATCCATGTCCTAGGTAGTATGTGCATGTTACAACGCTTGTCAGGAGCCCTGTGCCACCAAGCAGACAAAGCCCTATGCTGGCTTGACTGCCAGTTGGTAGGTGAAGGCTTTTATGGGCTAGATATTAGCTGGGCTCAGCCAAGCCCCAGGACTCTACTGATCAAGTAAAGAGCAAGAAATAATGAGAGGGTGGCTCGTTTTGCTGGAGAATGAACCTTTGGCACCGGCTGAGGACTTGGCGATCCACACGTTGCCTTCTTTGTCTTCCCGCCGCCTGTTGTAAGCTGCCAAGAAGACTTCCCGCTCATCTGTCCTTGTGTTGTTTATGAGATGGCGAATTCCATTCTGTGCTGGAGCCACCGGAGTCTTCAAGTTTGTTGGGTAAATCACATATGACTCAGGGAACCACGTGCAGGACTCTGATAGTTCAGGGCTTGTCTTGATAAGCCTGGGTGAAGAGAGACAGGCTGATAATTCCTAGTGTCCTCACCTGCATGGACATCATTTAATAAGTAAAAATAATCATTAACTGGGCTCTTTCACTTGGTGATGAACAGCAGCTTGCAGACAGTCTGTGCTAAATTATATTTTCCTTAGACCCTTGAAATTAAGGTTTCCCTAAAGATATCATGGCAACCTCAACATGCAGCGAAGCACTGCTCTTTGAATCAGACCTGCATGCTTTCATTAAACATTTTGTACACACTATGGATATCCTGAAACAATCAGCAGAGAAGTTTCCATGTAACTAGAACATTCCCTTCATTACCTCTGCACAAGGGAACTAAGGAGGTCTGTTTGCTAACACGGAACGAGACAGGAAGGATGCTGTGATCACAACATGCAAAAGGGAAGGCAGAGCAGTAATATTCTCTGTGCTGGTGCTTAGCTCTTGATCCCATTGCCATTGAGATCTGATCTGGTGTCCCAGTTATGGATGAAGACCACTGAAAGCAAGGACACAGCTACACGTTTCATGTCCCACGGTGTCTGGGATCCCCCTTGCATTGTTACAGAAATCCTTTAACAGCATCATGCAGTCTCTGATCTCTCCTACCAGTAATGTCTAGAGATGCCAACAAACTCCTGTTAGCAGAGCCCAGGCCTGTTTTCTTTCAGAGTCAAGGGAGCTGCCTGCCTCTTTGAATGCTCACCCTGTGCTCTGCTTAAGGCCAAAAGCAGAGCTCATGCCTGAGTAACTCTCTCTCTGTGCATTTGTGCCTCTCTGTTGAAATGGCAGTCTGTCTGTGACACCCTGGGAGCCCTGACACCCTGTGGGCCCTGTGGAATTCATCTGTGGTCCCTTGGGTTTGTAAGTAGCTTGATGCATGGTTGATCCCACAGTTAGAAAGGTCAGCCAAGCTTCAGGAGAGAAAAACAGGTTGCAGGCACATTCAGCACTGCCTCTAGACCATGGGCCGCAGAAAAATCCAGCTGGGGAGCACCTTGAGCACTTGTTTAAAAAATACCCTGCTAGGTCCTGACAAACAGCATCACCACTGTAAAGAAAGCAATTGGGAACACAATTCACAGGCAAAGGAGAGGCCTTTGAACAGCACATGCAGTCTGCAGGACTGCATCAGCAAGAGACGCAGCACAGACACTAACATGGAATCAAACGCTTGAAGGAGAATAAGAACTCTGACACAAAGATGCCCTAATGGCCAGAGAGTTTGCACAGGGATGAAGGTTATCTAAAATGAAAGCTCATCCACATTTCCCCAGGAGGCCCTGGCACAGCTGATCATGCAGAAATAACTTCCAGAGCTTTTCCTGAAGATGTCTCCAAGCATTTGCTTGACAAACAAATCTGATTAGCTAAAGGCATATTAGTGGCTCATCTCTGTATGAAACAGAGAATAAAAGGAGTAGGTTTTAATTAAATGTCTACAAGGAAAAAGAGCAGATATGTTTGGGGCTTTTTTTTTCCTTTTGATTGTGCTCTACTCTGATTCAATACACTCTATGGTTTCAAGCAGATGTAATTCAGTGAAAATGGTACTTCTCCTGAAGTTACAAAGAGGCCTTTGTACACAGATATAGCTCTAGAGACCAGCACAGAAGTCTGAAGACAGCACATGCTAAGACACTCCCAGGGCAGCTGTTCTGTGAAATACCCTCCAAACAGGTTCAACACTTGACAACAGTCAAGTCAACAGAAAAGCTTCTGCCAATCCCATGTAACATTTCCGTGAATTTCTTACTTCACCAGAGATGCTTTGCGGCACAGCTTGTCTGCTCCCCTGTAGTAATTCACCAGCTGCACAAGTCCAGGTTCATGGCCTAAAAAGGGAAACAAAGAGGTCAAACTTCTCAATTAATAAAGGAAAAACATCTGCCTGGTGCAAAGGTCCTGTGCAGTAGGGAAGAGAAAGGAGGCAGTTTCCTTGTCCTGCATCACAGAAACAGGCTCTAAGCTGGTGATGGGTCCTACAGTTTATTTCTTTTCGTTATGAAAAACCATGCATGTACCCAAGTCTGTTTTGAATGTGACACTTCCATTTTTCAAAGGAAAATAATAATTTCCTATTTCACACTGGGAACTGGCAGCACCACACAAAAATTTTCTCCATTTGCTGGTGGCAGTTTTTAAAAGCCAAGATTTCAGTTACTCTTAAATGCAGTAGGAGGATGCAGGGAGACATGCCACGATACAAAGATCACAGCTTAGGAAAGGGTCTTGTTTCTTTGTCACATACAGCAGGATTCCCTGTTGGACCTGGTATCACAAAACACTGGGAAATGTTAAAAGATTTGGAGTCCTGCTTCTCTCTGGCAGTTTGCAGAGTGTCCCCTTGGATATCTGGGGTGGGAAGGGACCTCTGGGGGTCTCTGCTCCAACCTCTTGTTTGATCAAAGTCCGAGTAGCTCTAAGGATGAAGATCCTACTGCTTCTACAGGTCCTTGTCCCAGTAGTTGACTGCCATCCTGTGTCCCCCTGACTATCCTGATAGCCCCTGCTGGAGTCACTCCAGGGTATCTGTGCTTTTCTTGTAAAGTCCCAAACTGGTCCCAGTAACCAGCTGTGGCCTCACAAGCGCTACACAGAGTGCCAAATAGATGGGTACCTACTCACTAATGCTGGGTTTCACACCACAGCCTGCCTGCCTTCACCTTCTCACAGTACACAAACACTTGTGCTCAGCTAGAAGCTCTCTCGGGGGACAGGATGGCAGCAGTTGTCCAAAGGTTACTGCAGATCTGGGGAACACCACGCAGCCTCTCCCACACAACCCATGCAGCCAAACATGGATGTGCAAGAGGCAAGCAATGCTTAGGGCAATACCTGGGTCATCGGTGACAACAACAGACAAGAGTATAGAAAACATGATGAAAAACTCTTCTGGTTTGAAATGATTAGGACCAGGGGGATGCCCCAAGGGTGGCAGTTACTTCCATCTTCACCTTCTCTTTTTTAAAAAAATGCCTGTGGGAGTGATTCAGACCCAGAAAAAGGATTCAGAGTTTGTTACCCTCCTTGGTGATTGCCTGGGAAAAAAGGTCTGCAGCAAATATTACCTTAAAGACCAAGCACCTGCAAGATCACAGAGAGTGAATATCTGTTTCAACCCCAAAGTCATGGCCCTGAACTGGGCCACTATTTTATTCACAAATCTTTAAATATAAGAGAGCTGAAAACCATCTTCCAGAAAAGGCCTGTAACTTCAGGCACTTCAATATGCAGCCAGCACTGCCAGCACTAATTTACTGAAAGAAATCAGTAAAAACCATCAGACTTCCTTCTGTTTCCAGTTTATTGTCTTTGCTTGATCCCTGGAGGAACTGAGGTCCAGAAGGAGACCCCACCATTCCGGGTGGGCTCTGTCCCAGTGGTCAGTCCACCCTGTCACCAGTGATGGAGGAATGGGGCTGGTGAAAGGAGGACGACAGCTGAAACTTGCTTTGAAACCACTGCTGTTGGATAGCTCTGAGCTGCTGGATGGCACATCGTCATCCGTTTCCTGAGCTTCGCCATGGAGCAGTGGGCTGTGATGTGGACTCTGGTGGTCAGCAAGAAGGGACCACGAGGCAGGAAGGGGATTCTTGGGCATGTTGTGAGGTCTGCACCATTAATTCAGCAGGGTTAAAAAGCTGCTAAGGCCAAACTGGCGATCCCTCCCTGGCTGGCAGGGCATAGTCCAGCATCCTCTGCTCCATGAGGCCTCTGCAGTCTCTTCGTCCTTTCCTTTCCCCTTAGCACAAACTGCTTTTCCACTAGATACAGAAACTCACAGCTTAAGAGCACATCCCCCAAGAATTAGGGTATCAGCGGGAGCAACAGAATTTTTTGCAGCTGGACAGAAGCAGAGGTGGGTGCTGAGACCCCCATGTCTACCCCTCTCCCACATCAAATGATCTAGTTTAGCCTGAGTAATGCAAATCCCTACAATTCCCTGATTTAATCCCTGCTTCTACTGAGCAGAGCCTTTAGGAAAACCAAATCAAGCCAGCTTTGATGCAACAGTTGCTCAGGAAGACAGCTTTAGGAAGATGTACCAGAGAAAATACAGCTTTTTGGAAGATGTACCAAAATAACCATGTTATTTTTGGTCTGAATCCACTGATTTCAGGAAACCAGCTCCTGCTATGGGAGGATGGGTTAAAAAAGCTGGTGCCAAAGCATGGTCCCTCTCCATTGGTCACAGTTACATCTTGGTTGTGAGAAATGGTTTGAATTTTTGGGCAACCCATGGTAACACATACTGAAGGGCTCACTGAAGCCCTTCCATCACCCCAGAGCTCTTTTCGAGGATGGAAGGAGTTAGTAATAGATGGCTACGAGCCAGATGTGCTGTGCAGGCCCACTCACACCAAAGAAGCGTACTCATTCTGCAGTGAAGTCCAATGCCCACAGGCCCTGCCTGCTGGCCACATTAAACCACAGGTCTGCTTGCTGTGCCTGGCAGGCTGTAGCCTGTGTGAGCATCCTCACTGTTTAAGTCTCTCTCACTGTTTCCCTGCCTGCTGCAGACACCCGGAGGCTGGGAGGTGACCAGATGGCATTGCCATGTGACAGGGACTTTCCACTCAAAAACGCATGTGGAGACAAGTGAAGAGGTGCTGGAGCTGGTGACTTGCAAATTTGAAAGAGCAGCCAGCACTGGGTCTCAACTGCAAGAACGAGGCTGCTAAAGCTGTCCTGCCCCAGAGCTGCTGGGGCAAGTGTGTTCCTTCTGCTCTAATGTTTCTGCAGCCAGCAGCACTACTGCAAAATCACCCCAGGAAGGAAGAAACCAGGGCCAAGGACAGGGAGGGAGGCCAGAAGGGTCCTGCCAGCCATTGGATGCAGGCACAGGGGACCACAGGAGGGACACACACCTGCTCTGCTGCCGTTTGCAGCATCCTCATCCCAAACCTGCTCTGACAGGCCTGGTGACAGAAGCCAGCACAGCAGCTGGCACTGTGTGTGGCGACCTGCCAGGCTCGTGGCTCCTGCCAGCTCGCCCCCAGCCATGGGCAATGACGGTGCAGCTCTGCTCCCTGCTGCGCCCTACAATGCTTCCAGCGCTGGGCTTGGCTCTCCTGGCTCGTGGGCAGTGCATGGCACTCTCCTTCCATGCTCCTGGGCTCTTTCCCATACGGTGGGGCAGAGGACCAAGGTAACCGTGCTGATAGACCCGCCTGCCACAGGACAGAGCGCATGGCAGGCAGGGGATAAGCCCATACAGGGAAGCTGGGACTCCATGTGTTGGCAGTATGACAGAGAGGGTCAGACAGCAGGGGAGAAGGTGGGGGTGTGGCATGGCATGGCCCGGCCCCCCACACACAGACAGCGTCTGGAATAATCCCCACCCTGCTTCAAGAACGGGCTAGACGTGCTGTCACCCCCACCAAGCCCCTGCAGAGGCTCATCTCCACCAGCCTCGGCTCTGAGTGTGCCTGGCTCAGACCTGATCCCCCACCTGTCCCAAACCACAGAAACACCCCCACAACACGTAAGCTCAGCACCACAACGTCCCAGCCCTATGGCAGGCAGAGGGATGCCACCGGCACTGCCATGTTCCCCACGAACCCACGCGGGGTGACCGAAGCCTCCTGCAGTGGTGAGAACGGCCCCATGCACGTTGCTGCAGGACAAGGCAAGCAAGCCGGGAGGTGGAGGCTGTACTGGGGCTCTGAGGGTCTGCGACATGAGAGGAGGGGTGGGGGGAGTCCTCGGGTGCCCTCTGCCCTACCCCACTGCTGCGCCACAGCACGGCCCCCAAGCTGGGCCGGGTGTTTTGGGGGTCACCACCCTCCAGGAGCTTGGTAGGGGGATCCTTTGAGCCCCGGCCGGTGGCAGCTGTCCCCGGCGGGGACAGCCGGTGCCCGGGCAGGGCTGGCTTCCGCAGAGAGCCCTGCGGGG